GGAAAGAATTGCCTTCATAAATACCAAAATTAAAACTTAGAAGAAAAAGATACTCCAAATTCGAAGTTCTTCATATTGATTCGATTATGGCTAGATACTGACCGAAGAACGATTGGAAGTATTGTTCTTGCATTTGAAATCGAGTTTTGGATCCGGGGGTAAAGTGAAAAAAAATAAAGAAAGTTCTTTTCTGACCGATTAAAACATTTAAGTATGCAGGGTTATATGTGAAATTATATGTTAAAATTTGATTAAGTTTGACCAAAAATAAAATTTTGTATTTCAACAAAAGTGGACAATAATTATGGGATGGAGAGAGTACATGTTTACAAATTACTGATAAAAAATAATTTAAAGGAGCAATTAAAAGGTGTGCAATTTTTCCAAATGGCAGCTGATTTTGCCAAAACAAAAATTAGCATCCACAAAAAAAAATTGACCTCATACCAAAACTACCCCTAATCACTCATAATTTCCGGAAAAAAAAAAATCCATTTTATTCTCCTCTTTAGGCTTCCATGGCGCAGAAGCAACCCAAAACCAAACCCAAACATTCATAGAATCTCCATTTCGAAGCAATTATGCCATTGGGATTACATGATCCACAATGGCTCTTTCCTATTTTCCTCACATACTTGAAAAACTCAAATCGCAAGTCTCCTAATTGCTGCCGAGTCCCAATCAAAATAGTTGAGGAAAAAAACTCTCGCTCGTTTTCCACTCTAAAATTTCAAGATCCGACATTTAGAAAAAAAAAGAACATTGAGAAAAATTTCCTTCTCTATCTTGTTTAACGTCATCTTGATTCTTTCATAGCTATTAGGGAAATTGATAGCCACTGATGTATGGTGAATTGATTGCTAGAAAATTTTATAATTTTAGACCGCTGACGTTTCGATAACCATGAGGATTTCTACTCACTTAGGACTATTAAGAGTTGAGGACGCTAGAGAAAGCCTATTATCAGAGAGATAGGATCATAGGAATGAGGAAGGGGAGAAAAGGGAGAGAAAATCTGACTGTATGACTATTTAAGGATGTTTTCGAAAATATAATTATAATTTATTGTGGATGCTATTTTTTATTGTGGCGAAATCATCACCCTTTCCAAATATATAAAAGGCAAACCTTACAGGCTTACACTACAACGTAAATCATTTAACAATGTAAATTTTACACTACACTTCCACAATACACCCTCCAAATATAAAATATACTCTATCTGTTCTTAAAAAAGAAGTCTACATTAAATTAACGCACATAATAATTGATATAAGGTGTATTGTGGTCATTCCACATCAAATGAGATGGAGTGGCGTAAACTCCACTATCTACGATTGTAAGATGACAATCGTATTGTTCTTCTGCTCTGCCCATTATGTGGATACATTTGCTGTTATCTGTCTACAGTCACTGCCCAAACAAAAAAGCAAAAGGCACACAAGTCAATGCCAAACATTCAATTTGACCATCCCACTTTTCCTTTTGATGATTGAACCAGTGATGTTGTGTTCAGCCTATTTAAGCAGCACCAGAAACTTGAATATCAAAACGACTTGTCTATCGGACAATGATGGGGGGTAATCTGCGGAGGATGATCATCATCTTATAAAATGTCGGAAGAAAAGTAAATAGACACTCGATTGAGTTGGTATTACATAAAAGGTACTTTTCACGTATGGCGGAAAAATGTACCCGTTTCATTTAAATAAAATGAGATTTTTTTTTCTGTTTCAAATCAATTACTTTTTTTATCGTAGTATTCCTTCCGTTTCGAAATGATTGTACAATTTAAATTTTTATTTTTAGTAAAATTATACTGAAAATGAAAATCTAAAAGCGTGATAATGATTTGAAAAGAGCTAAGTATTGCATAGGAATAATTGTGAAAAATAAATAAATTTATGTGTTGAAAAATATTTGAACTTTGATGATTGAGCTATATATATATAATTTATTATTACAATTTCAACAAAAACGAGAAGTATAATGTAAAATATAACTAATAATATGATATTAGACCTTCAATCATTTTATTGTTATGTTGTCTTTATCACATTGCTCCTTAAACGATACAACATTTTACTGACCAAAAAATCAAGCGTAAAACACAAGACAAGCGGCAAATCATAATAGGGGGGGCCGAAAAGTGATTGGGCAATCAACAAATCGATGATGAGGAATTTGCTATATATCCTATCAATATCGAGAAGGGGAAAAAGAAAACATCATTCACATTCAAATAAAACGTCGGCCACTTAATTGGTTGATCAAAGATGAACAACAAAGATTCATATTCAAATTGAATTCTTGCTGGTATAAGACGATCTTAATCACCTGTAGAAGCTAGCAATTGGAAGCACATAATCTAAAATTAGTGGAGCTAGCATGCATGCGTGAGTCAATATGATTGATAAAATGATAATGATAGTGAAATGGACACCTCTGACGAGTTTTACTACAACAAGTGGGTTCACGTATAATCAGAAGTCCATTTACGTTAAATCGTCAAATTAGAAAAGGTTTATAACTGTCCGTATCAGGCACAAGGCAAATTACCTTTTAGGCACGTTCAAAAGAAATGTGCCCGCAGTTTGAATCTGTTCCTAAGTAGACAAACGTACAGAGGTTGATCTATCTTCCGCATGTGCCCACTGCTCCACTTTATTTTCAGTTTGATTTATACTTTTGTGGAAGAAAAAAAAAAGGATTAATTACCATTATGAATCGAGTTCAAGATGGCCGTTAATTAACATCATCCATCGTCACCTCGCAATTACCAAGGTAATGTTCATGTTTTGCAATGGAACTATAATAGTTGACGTGGATTTATCATCAAATTTCAAAGCAATTTTTAGTGATAATAATTCATTCATTTTGTTCCAAAATTAAGTACGTAAAATCCGAAAAATTGCGATCTAGCTGCTTATTTATAAGTTCATTAATGTAGTAATTTGAATTACAAAAATATTTGATCAAATCATTTAGAATGCATCCTTAAAGAGCTTCTTGAGATAAGGATATTGGCCATGAACTAGGAGCTTTTTTTTTTTTTAAACTGAAGTAGAGATGGTGTAGTTTAGGTACACCAAAAAAGTTTGCGAGGCAGAGAATTTGTGGATGTGTACAGGAATCAGACTCCAGATGTTAAATACTTTACTCGAAATTAACATTAATGAATCTATTTCATTTGGAAAGCCGGGGAGATTTGGGAGTTCCCACGTCGACATCCTTCCCCACCCCCCACTACTCAACTCCAAGGGAAATCGAAAATTGTGAGACACATAATCATGTGTAGTAACTAACAAGTTCTAACATTTTAGTTAATCCTTTTTTTTCCCACTAATTATAAACTCTAGCATTTCGTATCCGGACCATCTTCAATTGCTAAGGTGATACGCATATAGTTCCTGGATTGTTCCTTTTGGCATTTCACTAGACAAAAGAAAGATAACGAATATCGACATTACCACTGATCTTGCTCCTTACATTTTACCTCTTCATAACATGAATTGGTACGTATTGCTAGTCCTCTGGACCAGAACTTTTATATTTCAAGTCTCAATCTGTTAGTTTAACTATAAAATCAATCAAACGATAGATATTACTGTCAAATACACCGTTATTGATATGGAGTTGACGATAAGTTTTATTATAGATTTGTTTGCGTTTGGAATGAATAAAATTTAGTGGGGCAACGGATGGATTTGACTTATTAAGCTGTGATGCATTTATGATGAATTCTGAGCTAGAAGCCTAGAACAAACGAATTTATAATCGACCATGTAAGATCTGCCATGCGTGCTGCAATCAGGTCGTTGGCACTTTATCATCTTACAATTTCGTCTTCACTATGGTGGGCTTGCATTTTACATTGGGATTAATTTAATCGTATTTCAGAATATTTAAATTCACTTTTTCTGTTGTTTTGATATGTTTCTTACACTTTCGGGATACTCCATATATGAAGGTGACTAATTTAATTATCTTCTACTCTTCCGGTTCTGCAACAAATTAAGGATAAATTTCATTGTACCATTTCATTCAATCAATAAGAACAAACGAATTTTCGTTCTCTTTTTTCTGGTGTTTTATTATTCTTATATATATATATATATGTTATTTTATTTTTTTTAAAAAAGTTCTCATTTGAATGCTTGACTGTTTTTTATCGTCAATTTTCCTTTTTGTTTTTATATTTTGTACTCGATTTTTGAAGTCGTTATTCTGACTAAATGATGTTGGAGCTGGGTAAGTGTTTTTGGGAAGACAAAATATTTTTCCACAATTTCATAATATGATAGTCTATTTGTTTATTATATTAGTATAAGTGTATAACATACTAAATTAATTTTTCTAAGACTAGATTAAGTTTTCTGTGCAAAAATAGAGAGATTTAGTAGGCATGGATTCAATCAACAGGACAAGGGGTGTTGCCGACTTGTTCCCTTTCCTTCTCACCAGAAACAAACAAGAAAAGGAAAAATAAAAAATGACAACAAAAAAAGTAGAAAGAGACTCACTCAATGTGAATGTAGCTGTATTAAACCATGCAATGCATACAGTGAATGTGTTTTATATCTTCCTCCTCTCTAGGAATTTAATTATCTAGATCGGAACGGAGATTGATTAATGTAAGTAGCTGAAAATATCTCCATGAAAAGTAAGCGAAAATTTGTATTTATTTCGTCATAAAGTAAATTTTATATTTGTTGTGGGATAATCGGTTAAGTGAAAGTATAAGATAGTACAATGAAAGTTGAGTTACGTTGTCACTGCAGTTTCTGTGATCCTCTTCATGGAAGATCCAATCCTCCAAAATGCCGAAGCACATTTCAAAACACCAACGTAGTAAATATGTTTGGCTCATTAAGCAAAAATAATAAAAACTTGGTGAATATAAACAAAAACTCCTACGAATCATTGCGATATCATTGTCCTATACCAATTTATTGCACCTATATAGTACTCCAACAATTTCAGCCCAACTTGACGACCACATAACCATGAGGTCAAACGATTCCCAATTTAATAAAAGCATACCATGAATCGCCAAAAATATCATTGTTACATAATTTCTACCCGTTCCCACTTCTCCACTTGAAAAAAAAAAAGAAAAAGAAAAATAATTTCATAGTTTATACATCATGCACATGTTGTGTATGTGCACCATATATAATAATTACATAACCCCCTTCAAGGCTATAAATGGAGGAGCACATCCTCAAAAAGTAGGGGAGAGTACTCTACTAAAATACTATATGCTAGCTTGATACATAGTACTCCATCCTCATACATTAAAATTCGAAGCCACAAAATCTGTTAGGTTTATCGTAAAAAAAAAAGAGGTTATGGATAATTCGCAGGAGGACAAGAAGCGATTAGGTTCTTCTTGGCCTCTCGCCAATTGTTTTAGTAATTGTTTGGCTATGCCCGTTTCTTCTCGTTCAAAGTTGGAACAGTCTTCACCAGGAAGTAGTGATAATCATCAAGATGAGGAAAATCAAAAGGACTTTTCTTCATCGGAGAATACTCGCCGACGAAAGCCCGGTGGTTGGAAGGCTATGCCGTTTGTCTTAGGTACGTACACATATCTCGTTTCTCACTCCATTCCAATTCTACACCTAGCTAGCTCTCAATCATTAGAATAGTGGCACATCAATTGTGTGTTATGAGTCCATCGAAAAAAAATCGGTGTTTTTTTTTCCCTTACCTCTCTCCGGTCGAAGTTCCAAAATCTTTTAAAAAAATGAAATACCAATCTCAATACAATTTCGCCTTTTTTCCAACTTACAATGATGAATGATTGATTGATACGTGCATCCCACAAAGTTTGTGCAAAGAAGGAAACCCTCGAATCTCTTTTCCGGCATTTGGCACATTGTCTCAAAGGACGGCTTGGATTTTTATTTTTTTTTATCTCTTCCCGTAAAAATATAAATGAAAGCCTTTGGATATAGCGTTACTACAAGGTCACGCATTCCAAAGAGCATTTTATCCGTAGCTTATGGGAGGAGAATTGAAATCCAATACTTACGTCTTTCAGTGAAAAAAAAAAGAGAGAGAGAGACAAGTGTTAAGTTTGTGACTCGGTTAGAGACGTCCAATATATTTTGAGCACTATTACACGCACTATATTTATTTATTTATTTATTTGTTGCTTAATATTTTTTTTGCCTGAGTTTTAAAATTGGGTACATACATAAGATGATAAGATATTGATGTAGTGTTTCATTTTTTGGGTATGTATACAATGGTATTTCAGTAGTGAAATATTGAGGGGTGAAATTTTGTGATATACAGGAAACGAAACATGTGAGAGGTTGGCAAACATAGGACTGTTGTCCAATTTTAATGTGTTCTTGCTGACGGTATTTCACTTGGACCAAGTGAGCGCTTCAAATATGGTGAACATATGGTCTGGTGCTACCAGTTTTCTGCCATTACTTGGTGCTTACATTTCTGATGCCTTTGTTGGCAGATTCGTCACCCTTGCTTTCTCCTCCATATCTGCCTTGATGGTACGTGTTTTTTTTTTTATTCCCAACGTCACGCACTTAATTTGATGATAAACCAAACCAAAAGAACGACCACCATTCACCTTAAATAATTCATATAGACCTTGTTATTCAATAAATTATTAAGCAACAAGCCTTGCACCAATCATGTGCTTGCAGGTTGAGATGCAATCTTGTTCGGCAAAAATTGGACTTTTTTGGGATTTTTTTTTTTTCAAATCTAGAAGTGATACACACACACACACACACACACACACACACACACACACACACACACACACATATATATATATATATATGTACTACTACTTAAAAAAGTGATATATGATGCGATGAGATTAATTGTGTTATTTCATACATCACTTTTTTTTTGACATCTCATTAGATGAAATCCCAGAAAATCCATGAACTCATATTAGTGATTAGGGGATTGAATTGACTGAATAAAGTGAAATAGTGTGTAATTTGATAGAGATGAAAAAGACACAAAATCACTTACCATGTATTATTTATATTTGTATAAAATTTGTAAATTTGTCTTTAATAATTGTATTATACATTTTTTCTTTGTTTTCTATTTTTTTAAACCAATTCATTTTCACTTCATTACTTAATGTTTCATGTCATGACCACAATTTGCTGGTTCTATGTCGAGATATTTTCCCCTTAGTTGAAAATTATATGATGAAAGTGATATAAACATAAGGGAATTCTACTAAAATTCATGCACATGAAGACACGATTTGTAAACTTTTATTGTTTTTACGTGTCACGTTAACTATTATTTAACTTTTTATCACATGTTCATTCACAGCAATTTGTTTTCATTACTTCTCTTTTTTTGTTTTTGTTTTGTGGCATTAAGGAAAGTAAATTTAATATTGTTCCTTTCATTTTTGTCATTTAGCTTTTGGGAATTGTTTTTTCCCCCCAAAAAAAGTTATGTTCTCAGCCTTGGATCCAAATAGGGTTGCATAATCATAAATGGACTTAGACATATATTGCACAAGACTTCTTATTTCCCAGTTTCGTAAATATCAGCCACAGGAATTCGAGAAAGAAGTACCACATAATTAAATTGTCTCTCAAATTAAATAAACCAATTTTCTCCCAATAATTATAACTTTTTTCTTTAATTACATTTTTCTCCCAAAACTTTAATTTGTTGGAAAAGTACAAACTTTTGGAATGTGTAATCCACTTGAATTGTTTACTACTAGTCTCTTCCGTGTCATGTCAACAAATAATTAGATGACTTGTGCATTCGAAACCAATCATCTACCAAATTTAGCTAGTTGTCATCAATTCGTGAGCTATGTTGGAAAGAATAATTAATAAATGATCAATATGTACAAGAAAGTTCATGAAAAGCAAGCAGTAGATTTCTGGAATTTTCTAAAATACGGAATTTCTGGAAATTGCGTAAAATGCAGGGAATGGTGACATTGACATTAGTTCCATGGATTCCGAACCTACACCCACCGCCATGCCCTACGAAGAAATCATGCAAAGGTCCAACGTCATCACAGATGGGATTCCTGGCCTTAGCGCTAGGGTTTTTGTCCTTGGGATCAGCAGGAATTAGGCCGTGCAGCATCCCATTTGGCGTTGACCAGTTTGACCCGAACACTGAGGAAGGAAGAAAAGGAATCAACAGCTTCTTCAATTGGTATTACACCACTTTTACGGTGGTAATAATCTTGGCTTTGACGGTGACGGTTTACATCCAGACTAACGTGAGCTGGGTGGTGGGATTTGGGATACCCACGTTACTTATGGTTGTTGCCATAATTCTGTTCTTCCTGGGGACCAGAGTGTACGTATATGTGAAGCCAGAAGGGAGTATTTTTTCAGGCATTATTCAAGGGCTAGTTGCTGCTTACAAGAAACGTAACGTTAAGCTTCCCGAGAATGGAGAATTTGATGGAATATACTACGACCCGCCACTAATGAAGGGCACAATTGTGAAGAAATTATCTCTCACCCATAAATTCAGGTAATCCATCTCTTTCTCCAATTTTTATCCGTATCAATAATATCCATTTTCTAGCTCTAGCTGTGGTTTCTTCTTAGTTTAGAGGGTTATTATGTTGAAAACTTAACTAAATTTGTGACATTTACGCATGATGCATGGAACTTCCAATTCCACGGTTACTTCTTCATTTTAAACATATATAGGAAGAAAGAATAGAGTTGTGAAGGTAAATTTCCATGTTGGACAAAGAGACAGCTTACCATCATCATTAATTGACTGGTTCCAATGTACGTAGTGAGGTTGTCCGTTGTTAGCAACAAAATGTAGCTGGCAGTTTATTGAACTATTCTCCATTATTGTTTACCAAAAAAAAAAACCTATTCTCCATTATTGAAATTCACCTATCATCATTATAAAAAGCCAAAATGCACCGATCAATTTATGTTGCTTCTTATTACGTCCGTGTTATTTGATAAGTTACAATAGTCCAACAAAATGTACACATTGGTGACTATACCTTTCCACTCTAGCTAAATATAGTGGACCGCATATAGTTATCCATGATATATCTCCCATGCCTAATAAGTCATACCCGGAGGCAGCTCAATAGAGCCGGCACAATTTGCTCCGTTTGTTCGGCGCCGCCGTTCAATGAAACAGTATTCAGGTAGCCATGCATGGCAGGGCATGGAGCATACATATGATCACTTAAAAAAACACACGTAAGGGGGGACCATATACAAGTCACGTTGAACTAATCATTTCTGTAGGTTGAATCCTATTCATTGATTGACCATTTTTGGTTACGTTAGAAAATGTCAAAAGTCTAAGAATAAAACTATAACATTATGTTGGTGAATTATAAATTGACATTATCATCATACAGTACTAGAGAACTGAAAAAATAAAATAAAATTCATGATCTATCCTGCAGGTTCCTGAATAAAGCTGCAGTAATCCAAGAAGGCGAATTACGGCCGGACGGATCACGGACCAATAAATGGAACCTGAGCAGCATTCAACAAATCGAAGAAGTGAAACTAATCCTAAGGATAATGCCAGTATGGGCGTCTGGCATCATCTGCTTCCTAGCCATGGCACAACAAGGCACCTTCACCGTATCACAAGCTCTAAAAATGGACCGTCATCTGGGCCCCCACTTCGAAATCCCGGCTGGATCACTCGGCGTCATCTCCATGATCACCATCGGGATATGGCTACCCATTTACGACCGGGTCATCGTGCCATCCTTAAGACGGGTCACCAAAATCGAAGGCGGGATAACCCTGCTCCAGAGAATCGGGATTGGGCTCGTATTCTCGATCTTATCCATGGTGGCTGCGGGGCTGATCGAGCCCATGAGAAGGGCTTCGGCCAACAAGCACGGCGGCTCAACCGGGGTGGCCCCACTCTCGGTACTGTGGCTTTCTCCTCAGCTGATTCTCATGGGTTTTGCCGAGGCGTTTAACATCATTGGTCAGATCGAGTTTTACAACAAAGAGTTTCCCGAAAATATGACCAGTTTGGCTAACTCTTTGTTCTCCATCACGGCCGCCGGAGCTAACTATTTGAGTGTGTTTTTGGTCAACGTCATTCATCATACCACCGGAACCAAAGACCACCCGGATTGGTTGACCAAGGATATCAACCAAGGCAGAGTTGAATATTTCTATTTCCTGATTGCCGGATTGGGGGTCTTGAACTTTGGGTATTTTCTCTATGTTGCCCCCGGGTACAAATACAAAAGTAGAGTCAGAGTTGATGAGGATGTTGATGGCGATCACGAGATGAAGCCTGACTTTAGCATTGAGTTAAATGGACTCAAACCTTGATATCCATCCATATCGTCATAGTATAATTAGGTAACAATAATAATAATACATAGTGGTAGTGTGTTTCAATTCCAATTTATTAATCCAGCCATATCATAAAAGATACTATATGGTCTGTGTAGTGTATAGAGTTATATGTTCTCGCTTTACTCAAGTGAAGAAAATCAATGAGAATGATCATTTTCTTCCAATGTTTTCATATGAGTCAAGTGATGCCTCCATTTATTTATTTCTGCATCGTTGCCTTCTTTTTTTTTTTTTGTTGATGATGGCAAATTAATTGTGGTGCAAGTTACGTTTTTTTTTTTTCCAAATAAGAAAAATGATCGAAATCAAGCTTTCCTCATGAGTCATGACATAAGTTGAGTGCATGCCTTTGGTAAAACCTACTCCCTCCTCCGACACCTTTTATTTTGGGATCAAGCATTCTTCATTGACATTTTAAGAGAATGGTAATGTGGTATCAGTTAAATAGTATATACGTATGTGACTTTTCCCCACCCAAAAAACGTGATTTTTTTATTTATTTATTTTTTGCAAGAAGAAATGATTCCATTAATTACCCATCTTTTCTTTTAAGTATCAGAAAATCGCAAGGTATACCAATATGAGAAAAACGGGTACATGTTTATAAGACGTAAAATGTAACGAAAATTAGGAAGAACAATCCCTAGTGTACCATTTCGCCTTGTGTTTAAATTATTTAATTATATATTCAACATATGTTACAAGGTTTTAAATTAAAACTATTGAAATTAAATGCATGTTGCTACCTTTGAAACCGAACCATATTCGAATTAGTGAATTCATTTCATACTTTCATGCATGCATGAAATGTTTTATTACAAAAAAAGAAAATATCCGCTTCAAAGCATATAAAGCGATATATATATATATATATGACATTTATTTAAATTATGAGGTGTAAGAACTGCGTATGGGTTTCTGGGGAAATAGACAGAGTCTACATGTTGGATGAATTTGCAGATTTGCTAGAGATGTGTGAATAACAAGAATTGAAAAGATATGCTTCCCTCGTCGTCGTCTCATATTGCCATATGACATCTATTGGCTGGATTTTGAACTCTTAATTGCAGTTTTTCGGGGTTAACACTAGTTTATTTTATTTCAATTAAAATGGTACAGCTAGCAAAGTAACTATAGTAGTACAAACAGAAAAGAAAGGTCCCAATTGCCAGTCTTACGTACTTTTAGTAGTCTTAGTTAGGGCTGTCAAGGAACCGAGTTAAGTCCAAACAGTCACGTGCTCGAGATTGGTTCGAAATAAAAATTAATAACTTGCGTTCGGTTCGATTTGTTCGAGTCTTAGTGTTCGATAAAGATAGAGCTCGAATGTTCGATCAAGTTGAGCTCGAATAAATTTTAATATTTACCATTTTCAATTTAATACGTTCAATTTTTGTATTTTATGAGCAAAATACCTTAATAAATAAAAATATATAAATGAGTATCACATTATCATATCTTCTAAATAAAAAGGACAATAATTTTTAAGGAATACAAATAGAAGTTTCCATTAATTAAATACTATTCATAATAAAAATAAAATAATTTATAATAAGCTCGAATAGGCTCGACGAGCTCTTAAATCAAGCATTTTGATACTCGTGTTCGACTCGTCTATCTAATCGAACTGTTCGAATTCGGATTGAGTTCGGTCAAAGTCGAATTCAAGCCAAACTTTGACCAAACTATTCGCAAGCTGCTCACGAAGTGCTCGGTTCGTTGACAACCAAGGGCAAAGGTACATACACCTGAGGTGGGGCAATTGCCCCAGCTGAATTTTTTTTTTTTTTGCTAATTAAACCCTGAAATTTTAGATTTCTTTTACAAAATATTAGTTTTTGCCCCACCTAAATTTAAATAATAAAGGGCAAGTGTATTAATTTACAAGTGTTGAAAATTTTGCCCCATCATATCTTAGGGACTTGGCTCCGCCCCTGTTGAGAACCCTTCTTAGTTGGTACTGAAGGATGAGATTAGTCATCCGCCATTGACACAGTGGAGCACAAACTGAGTGGAGAAATTTGACTTCCATATGAATCTTTGATTATTACATTTTGGCTTCGAGGTCATCTCAATCTCGAATCGCTGAACAATCTGGAACGCCTTAGCGATAGAGTTAACGTGGCGCACATTTTTCCCCCTTTTTCCAACTTTTTATTTATTTTTATTATTATTACTTCCAAATACTCACAACTCAAGATATTTAAACATGAGCTGCATATTTTCATTCATATACTTAATAACATCAAATAAGATAGACCATCAATCAATCATGCACCATGAAAACCTCCGAAAACAGCTGTTGTCGAATCTAAGGATCTTTGACTGCTAGAATCAATTGTGATAGGAAGAAATTAAAGGCTTTCAAACATTAAATAAAGTGTGAACTCATACAAGTTCGTATTGAACAAATCAAACCAAAACAACAAAAATATATGGAGAGGTCACAGTGTGTCTTGCTTCCCCAGAAATTCATATCAATCTACGGACAAAAATGTGGCCAGATCTTTGTCCATTCTCGGCTTGTTGCTTTCATGGGATTACGCAAATTGCCTCCCAATATATTGATTTAGGAATAATATCAAATCAGCAACAGTTTTTTTTCTTCTTTTTTTATTTTATTTTTGGGACTAGAAAGATGATAATTAAAATTCTCGTACATCACACATTATCTGAAGTATACGTTTAATTGTCATCATTATCAAGATATTTGTTGTGCTTGGCTTATCAGTGGAATGGTAGTATAACATATATTACCTCCATTCTACAAAAATAGTTCACATTGAATTTTTATTTTTGTATTGTTTTTAGTACAAATTCCAAAACTCAAAGTGGATTTTTTTTTTTGGACGAAGGGAGTATTTCTTTTTTTTTTTTTTTTTTGCCGAATGGAATTGCTGCAACTTTGACATTCATAATAATCACATTGATTACTTGATTATATAAACATAATTAAAAAACCCGAAACCCTAGTTCCCTTCCGCGGCCGTCAATAACCCTAATCTCCTCCGCCAGAGCGCTTGCCGCCACGGTGGCCTTTTTTCTCGTAAGGCCAAAGGCCTGCGGCCTTCCGCTCAAGATAAAGCCCGCAGTACACTCTGTAAAACAATAAAGGGAATTGCCCGAAATTTGATAAAATTAATTAGAACATTAATTAAAGGGAACCAAAAAATTAAACAAAATTTTGAAACAAACTTACGTATCATAAGTAGCCCAGGCTAGAAAGAGGTGGAACGTCCTTCTACCCACCTTTGAGGGATTTGACCAGAAACTGCCAGTCCCATGGTATCGTTCGCCGTTTGCTGATGAGAAAATTAATATGAGAGGAGGAGAATCAAGTCGCGAAATAAGCCATTCTCTTAATTAAATTAATTGGTGTCCATACAGTATTTTATTTTCTCCCCCTTTTTTTGTATTTTTATTTTTCTAGTGGGAAATGAAAATCACAACATTCTCCACTATTTAGTAGTACGTACCACATACAATATTACTTTCCGGATATTAGACATGATATTTTTTTTTATTCCTTTATATATCATTCTTGAAATATACAGTACAATATGTATATTTTGCTAATGCTATTATTTCCCCATAAAAGGAAAAAACATATCATATGTCATTACAACAGGTATTTGTTAATCTGCAGTCGATTGTTTGTTTGACTGACATATATAATATGTTCTGCGTCCTCTTTTTTTTTTTTCTTTTTTTTCTTTTCTCTTTTTTGGGTGGCGGAAATCACAAAACTTATAGTAGTTTGTAATTCTTCCCTACATTTATAATTTCGTCACTGCTAATTATATAAACTAAATTAGTAACCACAAAGACAACTATACTTAATTCATGCAACAAAGAGGATTAGTGTTTTGGGATGAAATTATGAAAATATGCTAAGAAACTGGTGTACCATTTGAGGCTTTTACAATTAGCCGATGCCAATGTTTGAACGTGTAAACTAGTCAACTAACATTACATAGTTTTATTGAGAGCGGACGATTAATTGATGGGATAACTTCAAAAGAGATTGATCACACCGCAGTACTTAGTCTGCCGTGCATTACATGAAAAAGAGCCCGATACAATTGCTTTTTTTATTTTTTATCTTTGTGTTATTGTACTATCCACACACACAAAAAAAAGAAAAAAAAAAAAACAATCAATAGATTAACAAAGCTCTAAATTCGCTTTCAAAATTTAAAAGGTACTGAAAAACTAACCGCATGAATTCATATACGCAGTAACGGATCTACGATGAAATACAGAGGGGGCCACGTACAATATAAAATATTAATTACTAGAAAAAATATTTTTGTTGAAAAAATTTAAGGCCAACATTATTTCAAACAAAAGAAAAGTTTAAACTCAACTTTCACAAAAACTGTTTGAAGGAAATTAACAAATTTAAATTTGCTCTCAGCGAGTTTTCATCTTTTGATAACACTTTATAACCATTATCATATCAATCTCAAGAGTAATGTTTTTTTTCAATATCAAATATAAATTTACAATTAAAATATCAAAACCTTTAAATATCATATATATTGCATAAAATACTAACATCGAACTAAACAAATCACACAAGGAATTAAATAAAAGTTTCATAACAACATATCGAATACAACTTTAATTATCTTAAATAAGAACTATTAAACCTAATAGAACAATAGAAATTAATATATATATATATATATGCCAAATACGTATATCAAATTAGAAAATAGAATGAATAAACTAAGCTCAATTGAGAACAAAACAATGAATGAGTGATTAAAAAAGACTTGCCTAATGGTTTGATGCTTTTCGATAATTTTTGTTTTTAGGGGAAAGGTGAAAAAAAAACGAAGAACGATGGCGCCGCTGCTTGGTAATTGCGAGAGTAGTTTTATTATTTCTAAACTAAACGTGAAGTCTCAGAAATATACACACATATATATATACATATATATATATATATATAGACACACACACTAGATGCTTAACCCGGCTAAAAGGCCGGATGACCGCCTTCAGATATTTTCTTCTGATATTCTTTTAGCAAAATTATAATAAAAACATAATATTTAATAGCTAACTTATACATTCTTATGGAAGAACCTCTCATTTCATCTTTGTTTGTAAGTTAAGACAATAATGACAAAGAAATGATATAATTGCAGAAAAAAATTGTTGTTTCAGGATCTTCAATGACAAAGAAATGATTTCGTTTGTTTAATAAAGAATCCGAAATCATCCATGAAATTCACAGCTAAATCAACTTGATAAAAATAGATCAACAAAAGAAATAATTATCGGTCAGAAAAAAGAAAGCAATCTAGAAAG